TCCATAGGGAAGGCCTGTGCCCCAGCAGTGGGGACATTAATAGGCTGATGATGATTTTTCCCCACCCACAACAAAAAGTTAAGTATTTCTTCCACTTTTCTCAACCAAAGACATCAACGTCATCGTCACAAAAAAATTGTGATCTTGAATATTTTTAGAACGAAGTCCCTTTTCGTGCGGTATGGCTATAGATCAGTGTTTTCTAACCTTTCGAATACTGCTACCCCTGTAACCTATTAGGAAAACAGATTTTACCCCGACTTTAAAATGTTATCATCAGTTCAAGATATTCCAGTTTGGCCGCTACATCTTCGTCTCTAACAATGTCATCATCAGGAGAAAATCTCACCCCGCTTCCCACACTCAGCACCCCGCGGGCTCGCTAGCAAGAAGGAGCGCATGCTCTATTTAGTAGTATTATTATATAGTATTTTCTTATTATTTAGATTTGACCAAATAATTAGGTTCTTTATTACCCCAGAAGTATGGCTGATTTACCCCCGCTGGGGTAATTATCCACAGCGTCGGAACCCAGGCTATAGATGAACTAAGGCTATATGGCACTAACGGCGGTGGCTGTGGAATTGGTTTAAAGTTTTATTTGGAAACCTAGGCGTCCTCTGCGGCTGAATAAAGAGAACTGTCCATACATAACCCACCCCTCGGGTCCAGTACAGATTGTTGAGTGCTTAATGACTTCCGATGCTGTCAGTTAAAAAAATATACTCAGTTTTATCAGACATCTATATCTTTATATATATAATTCTTCTGTGAGTGTGTATGTCACTGAACTTCTCTTAAACGACTGGACCGATTTTGATGAAATTTTTTGTGTGTGTTCAAGGGGATCTGAGAATGGTTTAGATTCACAATTTTGTCCGCTGGACAACCCCTATTTTTTTAGGGCGGTACGAAGTTCGCTGGGTCAGCTAGTATATATATAAAACTCAAAGCTGACTGACTGACATAGTGATCTATCAACGCACAGCCCAAACCACTGGACGGATCGGGCTGAAATTTGGCATGCAGGTAGATGTTAGGACGTAGGCATCCGCTAAGAAAAGATTTTGATCAATTCTACCCCCAAGGGAATAAAATAGGGAATGAAAGTTTGTATGAAATTATGTCGATTTTAAACCGATCGGGCGGAGACTTTGCATGCAGGTGTAAAAAGAATTATAGTTGAATGTCATTGTGTATAATACAAGCCTAAGAACAAAAACTGTAGTCTTCACTTCAGCTCTACACCGAAGCGAAGCGAGGGCGGGCCGCTAGCGACTTATTATATGTTAATGATAAGGTACACTATAATATCTGCAGTCGTTAGCACCCACCAATCCGCACTGGGCCCGCGTGATGTGTCATGGCCCAATCTCCCTATTTCATCCATAGCGAAGGCCTATGTCCCAGCAGTGGGGATATTATTAGGCTAATGATGATGATGATGAATGCACTAATTAACCACTGGAATAATGCACCAACTAACCACTTCGTTGCATTCGAAACAATGACTTTAATATAAGAAACTTATCAATACTAAGATGTAATAAATATACGGGATCCTTTATAAGCAAAAGCTTTACATTAACGGCTCTAGTTACGTTTTCTATTTAAATAAACCTACAGTAATGATGAACACAAAACCTAGAGCTCTATTTTTGAATCACTCGTCTTGCGTCGAACGTTCGATTTCAACTAAATTTCATTCGACATTATTAATTCCGTATTTTTGAATCGCTTGAGTGCAACGAATGGGTGAGACCACTCGCTGCATGAACGGTGGAGGTGAATGATAGAATAATTGTCAATTTTTTGTGCTATTAGACGACGATAATCTATAATTGTTATGCTTTATATGAAACGACAACGAGAATTTTTTGTTCGGTTTTGATTGCGGTAATTACCGGTTTTTATTCTTTCTGCGTGAACTGAGTAAAATTTTATATTTCGCAATAAACAGGTAACACCGGTGACGAAAGATTCAAAACTACAGAAAATCATAATCATATTTATTGCTTTTTCATGTAGTTGTACAGAGGTGTTACAAAGCGTTCATTTAGATCCTTACACGAACCCGGCTAGGGTATAGCAATGTGCTTTAAAGAGCTTGTTAAATTTTTTAATAAATAAATATAATATTTGTTTCTTAGGTTTTCACGCACATCACTCATTAAATAAAACTAGTTTTTACGGGTCAATGCACGAAACTTTATTTATTTATTGACATTTCGCAGCCTTTTCAGGTCTGCATCGTCAGAATAATGATTTTTTATTTATCAATAAAAAAACATTATTTAAAACTCATCAAAAAATCTTACTTATCAATCAAATTAATAAAATTCTATGCCATAACAATTGCATTAAATAAATTACACATTATATTATTCAATAAATTATATCACAATAAAAATCTAAAAATCATCATTTTAATTCTTTGTCATTAAAATTCTCTTGCCGTGTATAGTTTTATGTGACTTGTAAAATCAGTATTATGTGACTTCAAAAATAGAGCTCCTGGAGCTCTATTTTAGAATCACTCGTCTGACATAGTATCGTTGAATGCGACATAAGTCACCTTCGACTTTCAAGTCGCATGATACTAATTTTCCGTATTTTTGAATCGTTCGTCACCGATGTTACCAGTTTAATACGAAATATAAAATTTTATTCATTTCACGCAGACTAAATAAAAACCATAAATTACCGTAATGAAAACTGAACAAAAAATTATCGTTGTCGTTTCATATAAAGCATGACAATGATAGATTTATGGTCGTCTAGTAGCACAAAAAATTTGACAATTATTCTATCATTCGCCTTCACCGTTCGCCATGCAGCGAGTGGTCTCACCCATTCGTTGCACTCGAGCGATTGAAAAATACGGAATTAATTATGTCAAATGAAATTTAGTAGAAATCGAACGTTCGACGCAAGACGAGTGATTCAAAAATAGAGCTCCTGGTCTGGAATGTTCCCTGCTAGCTGCTAGCTCCGTACTCGGCAGAGCAAAAAGATGCGATGCAAGCCCATCTGCCCGCCTACCGGTTTTCAGAGCGCTGCATTTTTACAATCATCTTCTATTTTTACGAAGGCTGCAATGGTTAAATTGCTCGTCTAGCTCGTTTTTGCAATTTTATTTTTTACATACTCTTCTAATTATAGTCGTGTATCGTTTTGAGGAGTGTGTGAACTCTCTGGTACCACAGTCCCATCCCATTGTAGTCCCATATAAGGATATCTTTTTAAAGTTTGCAGGCGAAAGTTTTCTTAATAACAAATGTTATGAAGTAGTACAACAAATAATCTACGTGTTGATAACATTGTCATCAGTTTTGCAGATATTAAACGTAGTTTTTATAATACTAGCTGACCCGGCAAAAGTTGTTTTGAAATTTAAACTATTTCTAGGGAATTTCGAGTATGGAAAAAAAATGTAACTACTTATAGTAACTAACTTATTGTAAAATGATTAATGATTGACTAAAATAACAATAAAAAAATAGGGGTTGGTGATAGAAGTGTGAAAATTTAGGGCTGTGTATGTTTTTTTCAATGTAAAACGCATTATAAAAAAATAATAAAAAACGTGTCCAAAAAATTAAAAAACAAATGTAGGGGTGGACAATCTTTATCACAAACTTAGGGGTATGAAAAATAGATAGTAGCCGATTCTCAGAACTACTGAATAAGCATATAAAACCGTTTCGGAGGAGTACGGTAACTAACATTGTGTCTCGAGAATTTTATATATAAGATAAATATTTCCAATACTCACACCAATTAGCCTAGCCCCAAAGTAAGCACTGTAGGCTTGTGTTATGGGATACTAGGGTAACGGATAGAATACATATATGAGTATATTTTTAAAGAAATACATTATCAAACATCCATGACTGGAGTACAAATGCTCGTTATCATCACACAAACATCCGCCTCCACCGGGATTCGACCCCAGGATCTTTCGAGTCAGCGACACATTGAAACCCGTCGTACTACAAAATCCTCGGCCACGGAGGTCGTCATTTATAATACCTATTTAATTTTCAAAACTTAAGGTTTCTTTTGTAAATCTTCTGCATTAGAAAAACATATAGGTATTATATTTGTTTGTTAGGTTTTCACGCACTTAACTCATTTAATAAAACTAGTTTTAACGGGTTAATGCACGAACTTTATTTATTCATTGACGTTTTTAATAAGAATCGCAGACTGTGTATAGCAAGCTAAAATAATTTCTGACTGTTTTGAACTAGATCTTTCCATGGTAGCAAAGGCTATTAATTATTAATGTTAAAGCGGTTAATTATTAGTATTATTTTCATTAATCTATGATAACTACTTCTCAATTTACTATCCCTGTAGTTAATTTTTCGGCAAGAATTTAGTTAATCTTTGCTCAACGCTAGAATTTCGCAATATTCAGGGTACATAGGAATACAGTTAGAATTTTGTTTTTCTCATTCAACATTATTTTGAAATCACACCTTGCTTTTATTATTACTTAGAAGCTTTATTTCATCAGCAGACAGTGCTTTCGCAACTAAATCCCTAACACAAGTTAATTTAAGATTTAGATGTAAATCTTCATCTTTCTGTTTTGTTTCTGTCAAAATTGATTATTTCAAATATACCTCATAGTTTAGTAGAAAAATCTATTTTATTTTCATAGACTCCACTCAATTACAATCATATTCCATACCATCATCAATCAGCCTTTTCAGGTCTGAGTATTATTTTAAAGGCGTGCTCTAAGAAAGGATTTTTGCAAACTTCACACACACCTTATAGAAGTATAAAAGGGGTTCAAAAGTTAACGCAGACGAATCCGAGAGTAGTAGCCAGAGACAATATATCCACATTACTAATTCTCACCAACTAAAAAGCACATATGTACTTAAGCTTTTCATAACAAAAAGAAAAAACATTTCAAGAGCAAACAAAGAGGAGCATTAACACACTCACACACTAAGACAGAAGCTACCAGCAATGCGAAATTACAGATAAGGGGAGGCATTAGACCGGTTCCCTGCAGCGAGGGTTTATAACCAGGAGTTCGGGACGCCGGACATCATTCCCGTACACCATGTGGAAGCTGACGGTCCTCGCCCTACTCGCCACGGCGTCAGCACAGATCCCCTCGCTGGGGTGGTGCCCGGACTTCCAGGTGAGTCAAACTTTCAAAATTTTCAATACACTTATACAATCTTAGTACGAGTTTGAGCTCACGAAAACTATCATAGTTTTCGTTATAGGGATGATGACTAATTTTTTTTTCTTCGTTTATCAGGTAGATTATCAAAAAGTATTGGACACGTATTTTTTCTTTTTTCACATAATATAAACATTGCAGAGATATATTAATTTGAAAAGTCGCATGACGTCTGGTTTGAGTACACTTTTAAGTGAAAATTCACTCAAAAGTGAAGTCACGAGCCCCTACTCCCAAACTTTGACGCGCTATAACTTTGTCATTTTTTGGTTGATTGCCCAAAGAAAAAATACGTGTCCATTATTTTTTGATCATCTAACTGACGGACTAAATAGAATTTCGTCTACTGTACCCCGTCATCACCCCTATTGTAAATTAAGCTTCTATGTCCATTTTGGTGAAAAGTAACCAAATATTCTTAAAATTAAAGAAGACGCAAATGATTTAATAATAGAATTTAAACACTGTTTATTTGTATTGTAACGAAAACAATAAAATCAGTACAATTAGTTACGAGTGCGAGCTCACGCAAAACTATCATAGTTTTCGTAATTGTAAGGGTACTGTACCCTTAGCACGAACCATTATCGAATTCGAATAGTTTGCAAACCGAAATGTCAATGTCAAATTTTGTATGGAAACTTGAACAGCATCGCCACAAAATACGTAACGAGAACTAAAAATCAGTACACATTTGACAATGACACTTCGGACTCGCAAACGATACGAATTAGATATTAGTTCGTGCTAGGGGTACTGGAGGAGGATTTTACGTTTTTCCGTCATCCGCATAATAGATGGAGTCATCCGCATTATGATTTATGCTCATAATGGTGGTTTTATGTCTTCAATACAGTTATGGCGAGATTACCCGATTACGAGTGCGTAAATGAACGAAAACGTATTCGGGTAAATTTCCCTTTTGTTAACCCGACACCGTTTTCCAGTCCGAATTCATCTAGCAGTAGATTTAAAACATCTAGCAGTTAAATGCTTAAAAAATAAAAACATTTATTTGTTTTATTTAATAATAAGCATAGACTTGTCACATCTACTAGGCAATTCGGAACGATTCAATTCTCAAATAAGAGTAGGGCTCGGGTAGTTTTTGGCGGGATTTCATCGAGTGTGGTTGGCGTCTTATTTTAATTATTCTTAAATTCGTTCATAGTGGATATTGTGAAATAAACTTGGTGTGATTTTGTGTTACAACTGTCTGCGTAACTGAAGAATTAGTAGAATCGTCAAAATATACGCTATTCCGGTCAAGTGGACGTGAGAATTTTATTGTAATATTGACTACCTCACAGAAGCTTATCGAAAAAGCCAGCTCGATACATTTCGTGACAAACACTTCAAGAAACATTAGAATGCGTCACACCGACATTCTAATGTATAAAGTAAAACAGAATAATTTAACTTAAGACTAGGCTGTATGGGCATTGTTCCCCTTGCCTTCCCTGAAAAGGGAGAACTTATCCAAAAAAAAAAAGAGTAGGGCTCGGTAGTAAATCTTAATGGCAGATTAACATTGGTACAGTTTTAGTCCCTCAATGGCGCCAGATAGTTCACATGACCTATATTTTTTTTAATTAATCTATTTGCGACCACGGAGTCTGAAAAGGGACGGTTTGGACGATTCAAAAGAGTTGTACAAAACATCCAATTTTAATAAAGATATATTCATATTAATGTATTGCATTATTACTGTTTACATGCTGTTACATAAAATATATATATCATTCCAAACAAGAACCCAGTTAGGGTATTGCAATAATCCTAAACTGAATAGATAGATCTACAGTCATAATTATAAAACGTTCCAACATAACCAATTTTCAATCTTGTATAACACATTATAAAAATTAATTCAATTGTTCAAAATATAAAGCAAATGTCAAAATTAAAACTTTTCACTATAATATTCATTCATTGTTTAAAATGTCTTACATAATAAAAAATTCCTTAGTGCAGGCTCAAACTTTTTACCCTGGAGGGTCTTTAAGGAATTAGGCAAATGATTATATACTTTAATTACCATGTAGTAGGCGCCATTTTGAAAGACCATGAGATTCGGTGTGGGCAAGACGAGATCGTTTCCGCGGTACATAACGTATTAACATGTCATCGATGCGACAAAAATACTTACTATTATTGATTTCTCATTATTGGACCGAGAAGTGAAAACACATTTTTAGGAATATAAATAAACCGCCCTTATTCGCGTTAAAAAAGGAATTTATTAAATTATTGATGTGCGTGAAATAAGAAATGACTTGTGCTGCTGAACTAACACGAAAATAGTGTTTGTATGAATCCTAAGTTTAGCGCAAGCATTTGCACCAAAGTAAAAATGGCATATATATGTGATAACTAGCTGTGCCCCGCGGTGTTACCCGCGCTTTAAAGGGATGTTTTCCCGTAAAAAAACGTAGCCTATGTGTTAATCCAGTGTGTCAGCTAACTTCATACCAAATTTTACTAAAATCGCTCCAGCCGTTTGGCCGTGAAGAAGTAACAAACATACACACTCACAAACTTTCACCTTTATAATATTAGTGTAATGTAATGAATAAGACAGCAGTCGTATTGTGTCTGGAAACTAAAGGTTACAAACTTCAATGGTTTTTTTTTATTCAAATATACTCACGAGTTTTCCGTCCGTTATGTGGTCAGTACGAAGCACGTATCAATTGATAAACGACAAGCTAAACAATAACTTTACTAAGAAAGTAAGAGTGAATACGCCTTCTCCTAGATAACTCGCTACATCATAGGTACACGTAACTCTAGCGCTGAACAAAATGCGAAGGGGGTATCTGCGCATGGGTACAACTGGAGAGACAATCGGCGCAACCAGTGTTACTAACCCTTACTAAAATTTTACCCTAAGTATTTTTTTTATTCCCCTAAAATCCCCATAAATATAGAAATTTATATGTAGAATTATCTTATTACCTAAATTCTTTCGTTGCTCATAGATTAAAACGTTACATATTTAGTTACAGTAAATTATTTTATTGAATAATTACATTTTCCGTATGGAAAATCAAACGAAAATGAGCTGATAGGCTGTTAAATCTTAATTAGCTGTTTTGATTGGTGGAAGGCAAATAACTTAAGTCCATACAGCCTTAGGAAACAACCTGCCACACAGTCAGTTCAGTCGTTTCATATCGTGGTGCGTTCCATTCTACGCACAAAACTGAAAGAAAACACACGCTTTGTTTTTCTATTTAATTGCAAGTTTTGTTTAAAGCCCCTAAAAGAACCCCCAATAAATTCCAGCCCCTAAAAAAGTCCTTTTTATACCTTCTAGCCCCTAAATCTGGCGGCAAAACCCCTAAGTTGGGAACCGTGGGCGCAACGCACGCCCACCCGCGCACCTTGTTTCCCCCCAACACATCTTCCATTTTTACTTCTGCGCAATAACGGTCAGCGCTAGAGTTTCGTGTCGCGACTTATACCATCTCGATTTCCAACTGAACAGAAGTCAAGTGCAAAAATAACGTCGCTCTTTAGTACCTATTATATTATTGGTATTATTTCAGATGTACAATTTACATTATAGCTATTAACGAGATTGTTACCATGTACCTTGTTTTTTATGAGTCTCCGATATTTATTATTCATTTAGCTATAATGTTAGTGACCATGAAAGTTTAAAACAATATACATATTACAGTTCAATCAACAAAAGTTTATTAGCAAAAAATGCAAACCGATTTATGAACCGAGCATTTATGAAGAAAATATTTTATTTCAATGTCTTTCATCAGTTTTAGTTTATTTAAAATTGAATAAAACAAATATTCCTTACATTGTTTATTACTTGTGAAGTTAAATTATTATTTTTAAAGAAATTACCATATACAAAGAGGTGTTTTCAAATAATGTTATCTTAGCTATTTGTGTTCGACTTAAAATAAACATGCAACAAGCATGAAAATTTATCATAAATACTTAAACACGGCAAAGCTGCTGTTTACTAAAATTGTCATAAAGATGCATCCTTACGATACTTTTGTTATCATATAAATTTTTTGACATATAGATAGATTGCAATCCATCGTTAAAACCAAATAATTGTAACCAATAAATCATAACCGTGAGCGTACACAAATTCATTCACCGACAAAGTCATTACCATATCTTATACTACCGTTCCGATTCGAAGATTTTTTTCGCAATACCTACGTGTCGTAGTCTTATTAGTGTAGTATCGTTCGCGATTACATTATTTTTATTAATGAGCCGCCCCGGCCTTGGGCCCGGTTACGCGGTTTATATAACGCGGCACTGACCACGGACAACGCCGACCGGTCGCCCCGGTTAGCCGGACGGGTCATTACCATCGCCGGCGCCGGCGCTGACGCTGTGTATGCCTCACTTTCAATTTCTACGGGTGAGTTCGCGAAATTGGTCGACGCCCGCCCGAGTATACTTGATTCAATAATGCGATTCAAATAAGAATAGGAAATCCAATGATGGAGGTCACTGTCAAATGTCGCTTGAAAAGTACGATTTGCAAAAAAAAATCTCGGAACACTTTTTTAAAACTCAGCTGATATATGATTCTAGAATAAAAACAAAACATTTTCAAATAAACAATAACAAATGTTGATAATTAATATAATTTGCTTTTTTTTATTTATTGAGCTTCGGCTATGAATGGATGGTAACCTAAATCGTCAAGTATATGTCACTTTATGGTGAGTTCAAAAACTCGATTTAAAACTTTAATTTACATATAGGGTGCATGTTCGTATGTGACCTGCATTCATAACTTCTCCGGCGGTAATGCAGAATTGAGCGAAATTGAAGAGCTAGATTCTGATTAATATTTTTTTTCACAGTCTTAATTAAGAAATACTATTAAAAATCGGTTGTGTTCTTTCTCAACCTTAGTAAATTAATTTTATTAAAAATCTGATGTTTTTTTTGTGTAATCTTAGTAAATAAGTTTTATTAAATAGCAACATTTTTTTGCTCACTCTACCTATTTGGTTTGAATTGACAGCTATGACGTCAAAATATGGCGCCCAGTCGGTCCTATTGTAAGTTGAATCGCATTATAAGTCATTATTGGGGGAGAGACAGAGAGAGAAACATTTTATTGAGTACATTACAATACTATTTTGAAAATTATAGATAACTAGCAAACCAGTGAACCAAATGTTCACCAAAACCTGATTTCTCGAAAACCGGAAGTGCTACGTTACTCAAATCCGGTTTGTAGTCTTATCAGACTATTCTTAACCTATAACTTAAATATTCTCTTTATCTATCTCTTACAGTTTGGCCGCTGAAACAGCACCACAGACAGACGGACTTGTCTAATAGATAAGAGATAAAAAGAGTAAAAAAATACGGATTTTTGTATTATCATAAATTGTCAATCAGGACCATGCCTTAATATTTGATTATTGTTAAAAAGATAAGTTAAACTTATCTTTAGTAAATAGATACTAAACAGAATATGAAAAATACTTTGTTATTTTCGTAACTTAACTGCCAAAAAATTACTATGAAAATAATAATAGACCACACTAATATTATAAAGGCGAAAGTTTGTGAGTGTGTATGTTTGTTACTTCTTCACATCTAAACGGCTGGAGCGATTTAAAAAAAATTGGTATGGTATTAGCTGACACCCTGGATTAACATAGGCTGCGTTTTACTGCGGGAAATATTCCTAATAAACCGCGGGTAACACCGCGGGGCACAGCTACTATACAGGGCGTTACAAAAATACAAATAAAGCTTGAAGGGCATTGAAGTACATCAAATAAGGAGTTTTAACTTTTATAAAAACAGTTTTTAATGATAAATAAAAATATCGATCATTTTAAGACACGTCACTTGTTCGAGGATCATTAAAAATAACCGTTTTTATAAAAAGTTAAAACTGCATGCAAATATTTTAAGAAAATTAAAGAAGACTCTTTATATGATGTACTTCAACGCCCTTCAAGCTTTATTTGTATTTTTGTAACACCCTGTATAAAAATAACAAGAGTATTACTTTCCAAATTGTTTAAAGATTACTTTATTCTTAAAAATAAGAAGTACGTAGGTAGAATAGAGAAAAATGACTCAGTCCTAGACCAAGTAAATACTGTAACATAAGGTACAGTGAGTTTAGCGATAAAATATACAAGCCGTGAGCGAACTTCGAACCACAATTTTTTTTCTGTTCTACTTGTTGCAAACCTTGTCCTGACTATATCGAACACAAAAAAGTATAAACCAATTTGGTGCAGTCGTTCGGAAGTGTCGCGTACATACATTGCGGCGATTCATATGAATTTCATCAGGCAACCATTATTTTTACTGATATTCAAAATATTGTGTTGTTCATTTAAAGATGATGAGATGTTATAAGCAGACCCGTCTTTCCCAGTGGGCACTTTGGGCAAGTGCCCAGGGCCTCGCGATCGATAGGGGGCCCCCGCAGATCAAATACAAAGTCCCTAGTTCCTGTTAAATCACTAAACGGAAGTCATAGGGGCCCCATTATCCTAATATGGCTCAGGGCCTCCAATAGGTCAAAGATGGCACTGGTTATAAGTATTCGAATGTTCAACTAAAGTTTTTCGAAGGTAGCTCGTCAAAATTAATTAAAATCATACTTTTGAGAACGGAGTCAATAAAAGATCCGAAAGAAATAAAAAACGCATCTTAAAGCCGTTGAAACAGTCAAAAGTCAAAAAATCTTTATCCAAATTGGATGCGCAGTACAACTCTTTTGAAAAGTCCATATTTTTTCCCTACCACCAGTTAGGAAACCAGTGTTTTGTTTAAATGATTGGAGTACGTGAAAACGTAAGAAATAATTATATTCATCATCACCAGCCTCTTAATTTCCCCGCTGCTGGGGCACAGGCTATGGATGGAATAGTGAGATTGGGCCAAGACCCACCACGCGGGCCCAGTGCGGATTGCCGGGTGCTAACGACTGCAGATGCAGCCGGGACCAACGGTTTAACGTGCCTTCCGAAGCACGAAGGAACTCGATATAGATGTTTTTCTTTTTGGTCACCCATCCAATGACCGACAGCGAAAGTTGCTTAACTTCAACCATCGCAGCCGAATGCGCTAACCACCTGCGCCATCGAGCTCCTCATTGTAATAATTATATTGTTATGTTAATATTATTAATATAAAACTAACTCGCATCGCCTCCTTGCAGCCCATGGCTAACTTCAACATGAACCGCTTCTTGGGCACGTGGTACGAGGTGGAGAGGTACTTCACCGTCAGCGAGTTGGGCAGCCGCTGCGTTGCCACCAACTACATCAGCACGCCCGAAGGCAGGATCCTGGTCAGCAATGAAATCACCAACTATCTGTAAGTATTTACCATCACCATCTCACAACGTCTCCCTGCAGCCCATGGCTAACTTTAACATGAGACGCTTCTTGCGCACGTGTCAGAGCGACACTTCAACGTTAGCGAGTTGGGCAGCCGCTGCGTTGCCACCAACTACATCAGCACGCCCGAGGGCAGGATCCTGGTCAGCAACGAAATCACCAACTATCTGTTAGTATTCACCAGCACCATCTTACAACGTCTCCCTGCAGCCCATGGCTAACTTTAACATGAGACGCTTCTTGCGCACGTGTCAGAGCGACACTTCAACGTTAGCGAGATGGACAACCGCTGCGTCGCCATCAACTATATGAGCACGACCGAGGGCAAGATCCTGGTCAGCAACGAAATCACCAACTATCTGTAAATATTCACCAGCACCATCTCACAACGTCTCCCTGCAGTCCATGGCTAACTTTAACACGAGCTGTTTCTTGGGCACGTGGTACTACGAGTCAAAGTGGTACTTCACCGTCAGCGAGTTGGGCAGCCGCTGCGTCACCCTCAACTATATGAGCACGACCGAGGGCAAGATCCTGGTCAGCAACGAAATCACCAACTATTTGTCAGCATTCGTTATCACCACCATCATCTTTACCATTTTTGTACATCGACCTGTTTAACTGCATACCCAATTTTATTCGACCCTCCGTTGATGCGCATCTTTAAGGGGATCTCTATCTATAAACAAATTATTTGGACCTCATTTAATTTTGTTCAAAACCACAAGATTCTTTAAGAGCCTCCGAACTAGTATTACTACATATTTCATATTTTAACAGGACTGGCTTAAAGCGGCTGATGGAAGGCCACCTCCAGATGGTGGGCAGGGAAGGGGAAGGCCGATTCATGGTGAAGTATTCCTCTCTCCCGCTGCCCTACGACTATGAGTACAGCATACTGGACACCGACTACGATAGCTACGCCGTCATGTGGTCGTGCAGCGGCCTCGGACCAGTGCACACGCGTAAGCATGACACGGCTTTATTACCTACACAATATAAACTAAATTCCTCTATCATTATAAGTCTATGTTGGTTCAGGCGTATCTCCGGTACAACTGTTCAGTTTTTCATCTAAAGGAAGAATTATAGATAGAAGCTTAGGTGATAAATATTTTTGCAACAATTTATTCGTCTAATCTGCTGATCCTAGCTACTCATCAATTATTGTTTGTTTGATAATCAAGTGACGGCATAATACTTAGAGCAATATCTTGTCAAAGACATATATTATGATAAAACTGCACTCAGTGCCTTCCCAGATGACGCGATTTACACGCGTTTCGTACTTCATTGCGCGATCATAAAGCTAATAAACAATCCCTCCAGAACAAGCACAGGTCTTTGTGTCGAAAGCTTAGCTCAGTGCAAGTTATTTTTATTAACTATTAAATACACACATCAAAAGTGTCTAGGGATCAACATATATTTTTGCAACAACTTTTCTCCTGATTGATATTAATTAAAATTTTCTTTAAGGATTCATCAAATAAAGTGTTTTCGTTTGTCACAGTAACGATAAACCAAGTCACCTTTGCATTAATAAAGAAATTTGCCATTTTCCTAATAAAGGGATTTTTGACATTTGAACCACTAACACAAAAGTTCGAAAAAAAGACTGAAATAACAGTTTTCTCTAAAATTTTATTGGGTAACTTAAACAATTAATAATCCGTATTTCTACCGCGAACACTAACAACACAAGAACATCGGTTTGGCATACTCAAAATGAGTTCATCCAAATCACGCTGTGGAATGGCCGCCCATGTTCGTTGCAACAACAAAAAAAGGTCTTCTTGCGACTGGATACCCTCCATATTCGGCAGAGCTCTTCTCTGTAGCATATCCCATGCATGCTCAATCGGGTTCAAATCTGGCGACTGAGCAGGCCAGGGCAGGACATTGATGTTAGCTGCGGCGAGAGTCTGTCTTACAACTCTTGCGGTGTGCGGTCGTGCATTATCATGCATTAACTGAAATAAGGGACCGATTTGCACTTGTAGAGGAACGATGACGTCTGATACAATCGTCTCAGCATAAATTTGAGCGTTGAGGTTGCCTCTGATCCAAATCAACTCAGTTCTTCCGCCGATCCAAATACCCGCCCATACCATGATGGTTCCACCACTATAAGGATGGACTTCCTGGCAGGATTTTAATCGCTGTTGGCGTCCAGGGGTTCTCCAGTGTCGTATACGTCTTGTATCCGGTCTCATACCAAAACGAGACTCATCAGAAAAGCACACGAAACGCCATTGTTCTTCTGCCCAATTTCTGTGTTCAAGAGCCCATTGATATCGAATCCTACGATTGTGCATTGCTATAGGTGGTACCCGTAGCGGTCTTCGGGAATGAAGGTTCACTTCATGCAAGCGGTTTCTGACTGTTTGGTCGCTAATTAAGTTCCCTGAAGAGTGATGAAGCCTCACGGCTAACATCATGGCGGTTATTGTTGGAGCTCTTCGAGTTAAGATTTGAATGTATCGGTCTTGTCTCCGTGTGGTGCAGCGATACCGTCCTCCATGGCGCTCAGCCACGGTACCAGTGCTTCGGTATCGTGTCCAAAGTCGACTGATAACACTCTGACTTGTATTCAGAGCTAAAGCCACAGTACGTTGCCGGGAACCAGCTTCTATCATTCCCACGGCTCTGAGCATTTCTTCCCTGCTTAAATGACGTCGCCGCTCCATAATAACGTTGGTTTTAATCAGTAGTAGGGAAACAGTAGCACTAATAATGTCTTCAATGCGTTGTATGTTTTTATAGGGAAAATATTGACAGCTGATTTTCATCTTTTACTCGAATTTGATTCACAGTTCCTGATTCAAATTATGAAATGCACCAAAAAGGATCCATATAAATTTATAAAATCATAAATTTATTACAAAGCCACATCTCAATCTCAAGAAATCCGCATAAAAATGCTTGATCCCTAGACACTTTTGATGTGTGTATAATTAGTATTTTTGTAAATTTTCATGGTATTTCCAGAGAGTGCCTGGCTGCTCACTCGCGAGCGGCTTCCATCATTGCTGATCATGCAGAAGGCTTACGCAGCTCTGGACAGATTCAAAATTTCCAGGGCATTCTTCGTGAAGACCAACCAGGCGGACTGCACTGTGTTGCCGGACCCTATCGCGGACCCCTCGTACGAAGAGAACAGGAAGATTGTCCCTATCGTGGAGAAGAGCGTTGGCAACGTGATCGATGAAAAGAAGGTGGAGCAGCCCGATGAGGTAACTCAATATTATTAAGCAGAAAGATTTTACGTCACTTCAAAATCTGGAGATTTTTCTTAGAAAGAATTTGGAGCAGCTTGTTGAGATGACTTTATAGTCATCGTCATTATATTCATAAGTTAATGGTAATGTTTGTAGCTCTTTGTAAGCACCTTTCTTGGTGGGTGAGGTTTTGGTGTGGTTTTTTTATAATTAAAAACACAGTCACACACACTACTATATGTTTGATACACACACAAACATTGAGAAGAAACACACAAACGTTAAGTGTCGCCGCACAAGGGCCACACGCCACAGCCACAAATGCCGCCACGAGAAGTTAGAAGCGGCTACTAGAGTGGCTGAAGCGCGCGACAGCGGCCGACTTAAGGCAAGGGAGAGAGGGGTGGGGAATCGCGCGAGTGACGTGTGGCGGCGTTTTGTATCGGCGCATTAAGTGACCGGTGCGGGCCACAAGAAGCGGGCAACGACGATTTGTAGCGTGTGGCGGCCACTGGCGTACCGTGTGTGGCGAGTCCATATAAAATGTATGAAAACTACAAGAAATATGCCGGTGGCGGCGTTTTGTGGTTGTGGTCGGTTGCCCGTGTGCGGCAACACTGTAGATACAAAAAAATATTTTCTCTATGCTATTAGTAAGGAATAAATAGCGAAAAGGTGCTTATGCATTAATTTTCCGTGTTATTTTCCTGCTACCACAAATATTACTCCACACAAATTTTCCATCGTGCAATGCAATCAAAATGCAATTTTTCTTTACCTGTAATAGATAAGCTGTCATGAAAATCTCATATACCATGTCATATAAAACGTTAATATTCTCGCAAAAAAAGCTCCAAAAGTCAAAACTCCTGGTGTCCATGTAAGAAAAAGTATACCTAACCTCATAAATCTAATTTAAGTATCATCATTATCAGCCTATTAATGTCCCCACTGCTGGGGCACAGGCCTTCCCTATGGATGGAATAGGGAGATTGGGCCATGACCCACCACGCGAGCCCAGTGCGGATTGATGGGTGCTAACGACTGCAGATGCAGCCGGGACCAACGGCTTAACGTACCTTCCGAAGCACGGAGCACGGAGGAGCTCAATAGCGCAAGTGGTTAGCGCGTTCGGCTGCGATCGTTGAACTTAAGCAACTTTCGCAGTGGTCAGTCATTGGATAGGTGACCAAAAATAAATTACTAATTTAAGTATACTTTTTTCAGAAACGAGTAGAGCCTGAGGTGAAAGCCAACGTGCCACAGGTGCAAGAGCGCGCTTCCATCGCCAGTCCAGAAGTTGCGGAAGATGCCAAACCCATGCAGGTTCCAGAACTCATCATGTCGGAATCAGAGAATAAGGAACAGATAGTTGAACCAGCTCCCAACCTGAAGGCAGACCCAGCCGTGCCAGCCGAACCTGAGATGAAAGAAAAAGAACCATCTGCCTAGTAGATCAAGCCCAGTCGCAGTCAGAACCACGATGTCGATGATTGGATGTGACCAACACTTAAAGGCTATTTTACCAAATAAGTACCTAACAAGTCGATGGACGCCCATCCTAAAACGCGTCAACTTAGCATAAGCCGCACGGTAGTCACTTAAAATGTAATAAAAGTCAAATCTGAAATAAATAAATGGAAAAACTCTTGGTGCGTTTTAATTCTAAATTTCTAAGGCTCGTATTACAGAATGACAACTGATCTTTACTTCAGTTCAGATGGAAAAGGGATGGTCGCTTTGTATAACACATAGCGACATCCACATTCTAAATGCTTAGATTAAAACAAAAAGAGTAGATACGGTACGCTCATACTTGCATCAAACAAAAACTGATCCCACGGCAGCGCGAACGGGACGGCGAGATCCGCGTCACTGCATTACCGACCCGAACGAAACAGCACGTTAAGTTTCAACGGCAGCGCGAACGAGACGGCGAGATCCACGTCACTGCACTACCGACCAATCACGCGACCAGTAATCGACGTCACTACCAAATAAGATTCAAAACAAACAGCAATTTTTATGAAAAATTATATTTTATAGTACTTACGAATGGAAAGTGATGCCGTGGGTTTTATTTTTAGTCATTGAGCAATTTGAGCACTTTTTAAAAACATACTTAGGCATTGTTTTATCATAAAAACACAAAATATTATTAATATTTCTTTTTGGCGTTCACATGTACGTCGTTTGCATGTCAAGTTGTGACTAAAGCAATTAGGGTCATGGACCACAATTTGTGCGGATCACTTTTGTGAGGCTAGTGCCGTATCTACCCTTTTTGTTTTAATCTAAGTCTAACTGTACTCAAAGTAGCCTCAGCGTAGAATTAAAGGTTTTTTAAATCAATAGGTACTGTTATAGATAGTATATGTATGTCTTTTAGCACACCATGCACCCTTGCATTGCACAGACTGCAAACTAATCATTATCTACTCATAGCCGCCAGTCTCATCCATACGATCCTTAATCTCGATCCAACATCCTAGCCAGACGGCTGTCTTATCAAATATAGTTTTTTTAAAGAACTAGCAAACCTGTGAACCAAATGTTAACCTAAAAAAAAAAAAAAAGTATTTAATTAATTGAGAACTTCGGAGATTTTGTGTGGTTTCGTTTGAAATAGAAATCACGTGATTTCTCGAAAACCGGAAGTGCTACGTTACTCACATCCGGTTTGTAGTCTTATCAGACTATTCTTAACTTATAACTGAAACATTCTCTATATCTATCTCTTACGGTTTGGCCGCTGAAACAGCACCACGGACGGACGACGGACGGACTTGTCTATTAGATAAGAGATACTTCGCCAGGCTCACAACAGTACCCTGTTTTCAAAAACGTTGATCTTATTAAGCATGTTTGCCACTCATTGTAACAAACGTAGAATACTGCTGTTTTTTTATCATCATCATCATCAGCCTATTAATGTCCCCACTGCTGGGGCACAGGCCTTCCCTATGGATGGAATAGAGAGATTGGGCCATGACCCACCACGCGGGCCCAGTGCGGATTGGCAGGTGCTAACGACTGCAGATGCAGCCGGGAACAACGGCTTAACGTGCCTTCTGAAGCACGGAGGAGCTCGAGATAGTAAATTTTTGGTCACCCATCCAATGACCGACCACTGCGAAAGTTGCTTAACTTCAACGATCGTAGCCGAACGCGCTAACCACTTGCGCCATCGAGCTCCTCATTTATATCTAATATATAAAATTCTCGTGTCACGGTGTTTGTGGTTAAACTCCTCCGAAACGGCTTTCCCGATTCTCATGAAATTTTGTGTACATATTGGGTAGGTCTGAGAATCGGACAACATCTATTTTTCATCCCCCTAAATGTTAAGGGTAATCCATCCCTATTTTTTTTCAATTTTAGATATTTTTTTTTATTTTTTTATGATACATCATACAAAAATACATACAACCCTAAATTTTCACCCTTCTGCCACCAACCCCTATTTTTTATGGCGGTACGAAGTTCGCTGGGATAGCTAGTTATATATATATTCACATTATTTTAAACTTGTATCATAAACACGTCCCAAATTCTGGACTGTAGAGAAAGGAAAACTTAGAATGCGCCAGCTGCTATCTTTCCTGGTAACCAATCACTCAAGTTTCCGGACAACATGTATGCCAAATACATAAAAAGTTGAGTGAGTGTGATGTTATGTTATAATCTTCTATATATATACTAGCGGACCCGACAGACGTTGTCCTGTCTACACATCTTTGTGAATCTAAACCATTCTCAGATCCCCTTGAACACACACAAAAAATTTTTTCAAAATCGGTCCAGTCGTTTAAGAGAAGTTCAGTGACATACACACTCACAGAAGAATTATATATATTAAGATAAAACTCAAAGGTGACTGACTGACATAGTGATCTATCAACGCACAGCCCAAACCACTGGACGGATCGGGCTGAAAGGAGATTGGTCAAATTGGCCTAAATGCAAATAAAATATTGACATATACAGTAATTCTTGGCGTAATTTATACTTTATTTTACAGTCATTAGATTTTAACGGCCACCTTTAAATAATATATTAATTTTAAAAAAGGACTTCTATTTTTACCGGTTTGGAAAACATACGAATCATTTTTATTGGCTATGGGTGTAGTAACATTCACAAAGACTGATCGAGGTTGTTTATATAACATCAAAACAAATCTATTTTGTAAAGATTGATAAAATATATTTTTTTTTTACACGGGTGGTATTAATATCCACAACTTTATTATCATTTTTACTACATGCAAATGTGCTAAGACAATTAATATAGATGGTAGGCGACATCATAAAGTCTATTGCCGTACATTTTTTGCCAAACACCTAAGTAAACACATTATAAGGTGTGATACACTAAAATCTAAAATATGGTTATAATAAAAACATAACAAAAATAATGAAGCTGCTGAAGATATGGCTGTATAACCTACAGCTCTTAGCTTTCTTTGATTAACGAGAGTTTAAAATTTCTCTCTAATCTGTGGCTCATTCACAATCATCACACAGTTTCTGTTCGTGTTTTTAAAAACATGCACATATCTGTTATTTAACATGCTCTATATACCTGAATCTAATACATAATATCGGTACTTGGCTTGATTGCCCTATTTTCCTATATAAGTTATTTGGTTTTTATTATTCTAATACCTATGTGCCTATTTGCAAACATAACCTCAAAATCATTCAGTGTATATGGTTTATAGAAGTTCTCAGGAGTGGCCGTCGATAATATTCGTTTCTACGGTAATTTATATATAATTTCGAATGTAGGAAACAATTTTTCATGGTTATTGGTTTTTAGGCCAAACATGTATGGAAGCTGAGCAATCTCCTTTGGCATGCAGATGTTATGACGTAGGCATCCGCTAAGAAAGGATTTTGATCAATTCTACTCCCAAGGGGATAAAATAGGGAATGAAAGTTTGTATGAAACTTTGTCAATTTTAAACCGATCGGGCTGAGACTTAGCATGCAGGTATAATAGATGAATGTCATGTGAAAGCATGAGAACAAAAACTGTAGTCTGCAATTCAGCTTTACACCGAAGCGAAGCGAGGGTGGGCCGCTAGTATATTATATACTTTTACTCTTAAGTTGCACCTTTGATGCTCTGCCAAGACCGCCAACCCCGTAAGACATGACATGAAAATTGCCTATCGCTCAACTATCACCATAGTGAGCGAAATGAATGATGAATGAATGGATGCACAGTTTCCATTGCAATTGTACCAAATATTACCGATTATCACCAAAATTTGGCTATAGATTCGACTTAACCTCTACTTCAAAGTGCTCCCCTTCACGGGGATGAAAAATATGTTATTAACAATAGGAATTAGGCTTGTTGAAAATATATCGATATATCGATATTTTTTGTTCTATATATCGATATTTTTTGCCGATATATTTTGATGCGATATATCGATACATCGATACAAAATAACCAATATCGAAATTCGTATCAAAAACGATATTTTTTTAATTATTAGCGGCATATCACGATCTAACTAAATTCGTATCTGGAAAAATCGTAACTGGACCTCAGATTAATGATATACAACATAACTATGATCTGTGCTGTATTAAGTATTGTCTATTATTTGTAAATCTGTTTCGCTGGTGAATTGGTTGTGCTGATTTCCATTATATTCTGTGAAGTGTGTGACTGTCTAGTCTTGTTTACGAAAGAAAAAAAAAACACGTTTTTATACGGTTTTTCATGAAAAACTCTTGCAGAGTTATAAGTATTTAATTTTAATAAAAACACGTATAATTTATTGGGGAAAAAACAAAATACTGGGTTTAAATATTTAAACTAGATTAAATACTAACGAGCTAGATATTAGCTTGTTAAATGTTGAATCCTTTTCGTCAAACACGAAAATCTAAAGTTTCAACGTGAAATAACCAAAATACAATGCATTTTTAGGAAAAAACTCACAGAACTTATTCAAAGTGCTTTGAAAAAATCTTTATTTCTGTTTTTATGGAAATTCCTTATATAAAAATTAAGCTAGTTATGATAAGATAACCCTATTTCTATAGCGATAAAACAAACAAATCAGCCCCTAATTACCACACCAATTTATAAATGATCATTATGCCTTTATAATCTCTTTAATTTATCTAAGTACTTGTAATATCTTTAAGGTCTGACCAGTTTAAAATGATAGGTAAGTTTAAAAAATAGGTTAAATTGAAGAGAGTTTTTTCGGAAGTTTTGCTTTAGATATTTAATATCAATATGGAAAACGAGAGAAATGAAGGTATATGATACCTAAGTATATACTTAAAAAATTATCACTTCGAAATTGCAATTGGTAACTAAACCTAAAGTTAGGTAAGATTACAAATCATTGTATTTTTTCAGAGATCAATCAATAACTATTTTATGATGATCATTCAAAGATGTGCCTTTTATATTTGCGTATTAACTAATAACTTACCTAGGTATTTTTGAACCAAAATTGTAATTAATTATAACTACAATTTGCTTCTGAATACTGCCACAGACAGCATTAAACACTATAAAATGGTTATGTCATCATAAATAAATGGGTTGTCCCCATTTACTATGTTTTTATGATAATAAGAAATATGTTTATATGCATAGTAATTAAGTATATAGTAATTAAATCCAGTCATAAAATAAGTAAATATAATAATGAACATCAAACACAACCATTCATTCGCGATTAAAATAACTTAAAGTAAATAAGTAGACCCCTGAAAGTTTAATAAAATAACTTTGCAACGTTGATGAAAAATGCTTGCACTGGGCATGGACTTATAAAATACGTCCATGGCACTGGGCGGGTAAATTCCTACTTACACTGTATAGAAACTGTATAGCAGAAAATCCTTTAACAGAATGACGAATTTAGCCTAATAGACGACCAATAGTAAAAAGTAAATAGGTATAAAAATAAGTGTTAGTAACAATACAATACAATACAAAACACTTTATTGAACACCACAGAATACATTATAATAAATACAGAGCATTACAAAGACAAATAGTGAAAATTCACGAGATTCTTAAAAATGTGAATCGATTCCGCACTTCGTATCGAAACTGGGAGAGAATTCCACAGCTGAACGGCTCGAACTATAAATGAGTGACTGTAAAAAGTTGTACTGTATACAGGAGTCATGAGGGTAAGATTCTCTGATGACCTAAGAGATAACCTGTTAGAAGTGTGAAGGAAATTATAACATTACTTAAGAGAGTAACATTTCTTGAAAAAAAAATGGCAAAAGAGACGGGTCTGATTGTATTGGTCGGGCTGTTACTGAGCGCCCACTCCCGGCCGCTATCCCACTACTGCCCGATGCGGGGACTTTTGGCTGCTGGGTTTCCCCCCTGGCCCGGTTCGCCCCTCCTTAGTTAACCTGCACTTTCCAGACTCCTCCGGAAAGTCCATATTAACACCAGGCTTAGTGCGGACGTCCAGTCAACATGTGCCACTCAGCACCAGGACTCCCGACCTCAAACCATCCTCCGGCCCCGACCTCCGAGCAGCCGGATTACAGGAGACGCCACGCTCCCAGTCGAAGAAACTAACGAATTTAGGCAACATATTCTAAAAAAAGTACGCGTTTCAAATCATAATTGTAATTTTTTCTTTTTATTTTCGTAACTTTGTAGTCTATATTAATTAAAAATGTTGATAATTTTTTATTTTTGTTTTAATGAAAGAAATGGCTATAAATTGAAGTTTTTCTTTTTTTATATAACAAGTAACAGCGCCATCTGTACAGCAACCGTAACAATAAGTACTTGCCAGACTTAAGCGTGACGTTACACTCTGCTAACTTTACCTACGTATACAAGTACATGTTTCGTTCACCCTTGAAAGAGGGCATTGTTGTTGAAAAAAATTGTTGTTTTCTTGTCTCGTCTATTGCAATGTTTCATTATTTTTGTTCCTACCAAAATTCTAAGTCGAAATAGGAAAAACCGGTTTTCTAGATTTTATTAATCAAAATTCGGTTTGTTTTTTTAAGATTGGTTATTATTTTAGTATCTAATTTTTAAATCTTAGAATTACTGTGTATTTTATCTGTGTTATCTTTTAACGACTTTAAAATGACATTGTTATCTTAGGAAAATTTTCCACAAATGCATATTTTCCTGTCTATCTGGATTCTTGAGTCATTCATTTTTTGATGTTGTGATTTTTAAAACTTCTCAGATACTCGTACTTAATAAAAAATGTAAGTACATATATAAATATATATTAGCACATGAAGGTAACACTTTCGTACCACTCATTATGCATTTTCCTCAGGAAGTCAGGAGTAAAGCTTCTTTACATAAAGTTACTTTTTTCCGGTAATCTATTGAAAACTTTTACTGCAATTGTAATATATGTTCCTGAATATTAAACCTAGTACTATTTCATTATATTTTTAACCGACTTCAACAAAAAGGAAGAGATTTTAATTTTTTTAAGGTATTTTCCCCGATTACTGAAAGTAGTCTGGACCAATATGAAAAATTATTTTTTTGTTTGAAACAGTATTCTTTACGTGTTATCCTATGGTCTTGTGGTCAGGGTATGATGGTGAGATCATGGAGAAATCAAGGGACATCTCCAAAACCTACAGGGATATCTACAAAAATTTACATATTTTTATAGTAACTCGACCATTTACTCTCAGAAGCCGCTATCTGGTGAAGTGGAACTGATAATGAAGACCAGTAATAATCAAACTTATCATTAATACTTACGTTAAAGATGAATACTTGTTTACATAACCCACTTAAAAGCTGGCGAAGTACCTTAGCTGTTAGTGAAAACTATAAGCGTTTTGACAAAACTAATACCGACGAATGAAAACGAAAGCAATGAAAATTAAGAAAAATTTGAAGTCGAGTTATAGTCACTAATCGTTGTTATGGTTTACTGAACATTAAGAAATCGAAACAAGTTCAATTTATGTTAGAAAAACTAATTAATTTGACCTTCGTCACTTTTCTTTCTCAGAAGATGGCCTCCATTTTTTTTTTATATTGACTGTGATGAAGATGCCTTTTATGTTATGTAAGTTAAAATTCTAGTTCTCTTCTATTATTATTATTAGACGAAAAAAAATATTTAAATACTTATTTTAGTTATTTTTTTTATTTTTTCTGTCTAATCAAAGAAAACTACTGCATTTCGGATTTCCACTCTCTCATGGCCGTGTTGCTCTCAAATGTTACAGAATGACTCAAACGCTACGCTAGATGGCAGCACCGAAGCGGACCAACCACCCATTTCATACAAGTATTATTTTGGTTAATTTATTGTCAATCCTTTGTTGGGAAATCGACTAGTGAGTTGTATTAAAACTAGGTTAATGAGTCGATAACAAACAAAAACACTCAAAAGAAGACAACGCACCTATGATACTAACTTATCAATTCCGAGACCCCCCCCCCCCCCCCCCCCCCCCCCCCCCCCCCATAAAACATCACATCAAAATATAGATCAGTAACGAATGCCTTTATATGGCATGCTTCTGTCGCCCCTCGTAGGTAGGTGTGAGTACCTATAGTTATATTGTAAAAAAAAATGGTATTTGGGGATTCCGGGACAATAAGGTCTAATTACTGGACACTCCCGGATTTCCCGGCCATCTGGCAACCCCATCTATAACACACAGACAATAGCCCAGTTTTGTAATTTTTCCTGACAACGCTGTTATCATCCGACTTTGAGGAGTAGGAAGTGATGAATTAGATGTCATTGCATACATTAGTTACACCAATTTTTGTTTCTATATTATAAACATACTTTTATGATGTGTATTTATGATTTAGTAGTATTTTATTTTGAATACGCAAATTGTTCACTAATGACCTTTAATGCTGAGGTGTATATATCTGTTCAAACAATGTACTAAGTCCAATTTGGCTCTAGATTGTACTATGTAAACTTTTTTGTGAGGACTTTATATATTGACGATAACAATGGAACTACAGCGTGTCTGTGTGTGTACCGGTCAGTGTATGTATGTATTTGTTAGTATAGACATAGTAATGTGATATTAGTTTAGTTTAGCCGACCTCCACTAGACAGAAGGTCGTGGCAACACGGTATAATAATCTTCATATGATCTGTGTTTGAATATTATATTGCCGAATGCGTACATGCACTTTGACAAAAGTTTTCAATGACGGTGACAATGTTTTAACATATACCACTATTATTTGAAGTCTAAAACGTGAGCTGGTTTTGGATCCATTAAAAAGACAGGTAGGTAATTCTTCAGTGCTTATTTATAATCTAGAATAACACGAATAATTTAGAAGGTAAATAAAACTCGTTTATTTTTTATTTCCTGATCTGTGACTACATTAACACCGATCTCTTTTTTAAAAAAAAGAGAGTGTTTGGCGCGATTTTATCGAGTTCGGTTGGTGTCATATTAAATCGTTCATAGTGAATATAGTGAAATAAAATTGGTGTGGATTTTGTGTTACAATCATCAGTGCAACTGAAGAATTAGTGGAATCTTTAAAATATTAGCTATTCCGGTCAAGTGAACGTGAGAACTTTATTGTAGTGTTGACTACCTCACAGAAGCTTATTGGAACAGCCAACTCGATACATTTCGTGTCAAACACTCCAAGAAACATTAGAATGCGTCACACCGACATTCTAATGTAAAAACAAAAAGAAGATTAATTTAATTAAAGACCAGGCTGTATGGGCATTGTTCCCTTTGTCTTCCCTAAAACGGGTGAACTTCAACAAAAAAAAAAGAGTTTTTGGCGCGATTTCATCGAGTGCTGTTGGTGTCATATTTTAATTATTCTCTTAATTCGAGCACGCGAGAGCATTAATGCACGAAACTTTATTTATTTATTGACGTTTCGCAGCCTTACTTTTCAGGTCTGCCTTACAATCAGACCTGAAAAGTTTCGTGCATTAACCCGTTAAAAACTAGTTTTATTTAATGAGTGATGTGCGTGAAAACCTAAGAAACAAATATAAAAATATAAGCGATTTTTTATGTGTTTCTAGCTTAAACTTGTAATTCAAGATACCATAAAATAGAGTAGATGTATTTCAGGGTTCCGCAGTAGCTTCATTAAACCTTAACGTCAAATTGAGTTAATACTAATGTAAGTAAACGAAATGAAACTACCAAACAAAAGCAACAATCACTGATCTTTCAACATACAGCTGGAACTAACGAACCACAGAAATAAATTGACTTATTCTTTCGTCGAATTGCGCTAGGATTTGGAACACAGCTAGTTATAATGACGTAGCCTAAGAAAACATTCTCCAAAAATCATCCCATTTGAGGCTAATTGAGACCAAAAGTTTAGCGTAACGTTTTATTGAAAATTTATCCCATAAGGAGGTGAAAAAAGGTGAATTTCTTTCAGTAAAATATCCTATAAATATACTAGCTGACCCAGCGAACTTCGTCCCGCCATAAAAATAGGGGCAGGTGGTAGAAGAGAAAGGAGATTGCTCAGCTTCCATACATGTTTGGCCTAAAGACCAATAATCATGAAAAATTGTTTCCTAGATTCGATATCTTTATATATATAATTCTTCTGTGAGTGTGTATGTCACTGAACTTCTCTTAAACGACTGGACCGATTTTGATGAAATTTTTTGTGTGTGTTCAAGGGGATCTGAGAATGGTTTAGATTCACAATTTTGTCCGCTGGACAATGTTTTTTTTTAATTTTTTTTTTTTTATGGCGTTACGAAGTTCGCTGGGTCAGCTAGTATATTATAAAGGCGAAAGTTTGTGTGAGTGTTTATATTTGTTACTTCTACACGTCGAAACAGCTGGAGCGATTTTAATAAAATTTGGCTTAGAGTTAGCTGACACCCTTAACAATTATTAACACATAGGCTACTTTTTATCTCGAAAAAATGTTAGGATCCTGAGGGATTTTCAAAAAACTAAGTTAACACAGACGAAGTCGTGGGCAGCCGCTAGTTATATATAAATTTCTGTAGAAACGTATATTATTGACGGACACCCCTGAGAACTTCAATAAACCATATACACTGAACATATTAAAATAATAAAAAACAAATAAGTTATATAGTAAACTAGGGAAATCAAGCCAAGTACCGAAATTATGGATTAGATTCAGGGGCGCAATTCTCGCGGCATAGATATTATATCACCTTAGATATATATCGAATGATCTGGCTTTTATCGAAGGAAAATCTTTTTGCCCTATTCTCACCATGTCGCAATAGATATTTATCTACGGATGATCAGTAGACATACATCGACTGGTAAAGAGCCTTCGATATATAAATATCTATGGATCTTGGCATGTCAATCTTGTTATTTCCACTTTTTTTACCTATTATTTATTGTGTTGTCGTGTATCTTTGCCAATTATTGTTACCTCAAGATGTTGTTAACTGCCTTCATAAATAATTAGTAAATAAAGAAGTAGGTAAACAATGGTGTCGATTATGGCGTGATTCTCTAAACTTAAAACTAAATTTAACATCAGTCTCTCTTTTTCATTCTGTATAGGGAATGACAAGGAAACACTGTTGTCAAGTTTAAGTTTAGATTTAGAGAATCGTGCCAGAATCGACACCAGTTTATATTAACGACGGATGAGTTGATTCATGTTTTCGTCAATGATTTAATAAATGACGTGATTGCTGCTGCTGTGCTAAGGCGCCGCCGTTGTGAGAGCAACAGGGCCCATTTGAAATGAGGGACGCCGACTGAAATGAGGGACGCCGACTTCATAAAAAAATTAAGTTTAAACAAAAATTTGCTTAGAAATCTTTAAAGTTATGAATGACATTGGTATCGATTCTGACACGATTCTCTAAACTTAAAACTAAATTTAACATCAGTCTCTCCTTTTCATTCTGTATGGAGAATGACAAGGATACACTGTTGTCAAATTTACGTTTAGGTTTAGAGAATCATGCCAGAATAGACACCATTTTCTTATTGACGATACGGAGTTTTGGCGGGATTTCTGCGAGTGCGGTTGGCATCTTATTTTAATTATTCTAAAATTCGTTCATAGTGGATATTGTGAAATAAAATTGGTGTGATTTGGTGTTACAACCGTCTGCGCAACTGAAGAATTAGTGGAATCTTTAAAATATACGCTATTCCGGTCAAGTGGACGCGAGAACTTTATTGTAGTGTTGACTACCTCACAGAAGCTTAGAGAAAAAGCCAACTCCATAAATTTCGTGCCAAACACTCCAAGAAACATTAGAATGCGTCACACCGACATTCGAATATAAAAAAAAAGAAGATTAATATAACTAAAGACTAGGCTTTATGGGCATTGTTCCCTTTGCCTTCCCTGAAAAGGGAGAATCTTAAATAATATTGACGTTTCATTATACATAACGTTGAAATTCTATACGCATACAATTTAGGTAAAGTTGAGATTTTTTGTACTCAAAAAATGTATACTCATATTTAATATGAATGGAATTCATAAAATATCATTTTGTTGCTTGTAAAATTCTGCTCTAATTTATTATTATTTTATATAGACTATGATGTTAACTTAATCGAGAAAAACGGAACGCATTCGGCAGTGAAAGAATATCTACGATAGATATAATATCATTGGAATATCGAAATTCCACGAGAATAACATTTTTTACCATCAGTAGATATTTTCAATAGATATCCCTACTTTCGATATTATCTCGAAGCCGATATAATATCTACGCCGCGAGAATTGGGCCCCAGGTATATAGAGCATGTAGATTAACAGATAGTTGTCTGTTTTTAAAGTTAATGCATAAGAGTAACTTTTAAAATCAGGTGTCATTTCCGGTTATAATAAGGTACTCTGTGACAGAAACTGTGTGATGATTGTGAATGAGCCACAGATTAGAGAGAATTTTTAAATTGTCGTTAACCAAAGAAAGCTAATAGATTTAGGTTCTACTAGCTGACCCAGCGAACTTCGTACCGCCCTAAAAAAATAGGGGTTGTCCAGCGGACAAAATTGTGAATCTAAACCATTCTCAGATCCCCTTGAACACACACAAAAAATTTCATCAAAATCGGTCCAGTCGTTTAAGAGAAGTTCAGTGACATACACACTCACAGAAGAATTATATATATAAAGATAGCCATATATTCAGTAGCTTCATTATTTTTGTTATGATTTTAAGATAACCATATTTTAGATAGTTTTATTTATTTATTAATTTATAGTCAGGGAACGTAGGCCCATAGATCCTATCTTAAGTCCTTAGACCTTAAAGTCTAACATATATACAGATTACAATGTGTTTATGGAGGTGTTTGGCGAAAAATGTATGGCAATAGACTTTATGATGTCGCCTACCATCTATTATAATTGAATGGGTGAATGTTACTACACCCATAGCGTAGACAGAGAATAATAGCAAATAAAAAAGATTCGTATGCTTTCCAAACCGGTAAAATTAAAAGTCCTTTTTAAAATAAATATATTATACAAAGGTGTCCGTTGAAATCTAATGACTGTAAATTAAATTATAAATTACGCCAAGAAATACCGTGTATGTCAATATTTTTTGTGCATTTAGGCCAATTTGAGCAATCTCCTTTAGGGTTGTATGTATTTTTTAATACCACATTATAAAAAAATAAATATTGTCCAAAAAAAATCTATCAATTTCCTGGGATAACATTCGTCCTAACCCATATGAGAACACTTCGTTACATTACCCAATAGTTAGAATTTTGGCGCGAAGGCGCATTGTAGGTTTCAGAACACTACGTTACAGGTGGACAACCATTTTCACTTAAGGATATGAAAAATAAATAGTAGCCGATTCTCAGACCCACGGAATATACATATAAAATTTCATAAAAATCGGTCAGGCCGTTGCGGAGGAGTATGGTAACTAAAATTGTGACACGAGAATTTTATATATGAGATATAGTCGTGTGACGCTCGTGACGCATTTCCGTTTCATCGTTTATATAGGATTTTTCCATTTACACCCCGTCCGAAAAGAACATATTACAAATACGGAGGAACCAGTGTTAAGCGAATGCGGTGTGTATTTTTCGACTACATGGTATTGGGTTGGGCAAACGCGTGATAGATAAGTACTCTTTTATCAGCATACATCACAATAGCGGCCACAATTAGGCGTTGAGCAGACGACGGGGCGGGGCGGGCATTTTGTCCGCGAAGCAATAAAGACCGCGTCTGCCCGTCGATGTCTGCGGCTGCCCGCGCCGCGTACACAAAGCACACTACGGGCAGAGGCGGTCAGTT